GGCGGAGTTCGCAAACGGCGGTAAATTTTTGCGGCCAGAGCTGGTCGTAACCCGAAAAGTTCGTTAACAGAGGCGTTCGGAACCCGAGGTACCACTGTACCTGATTATCTTCATGTACCTGAAGTCAAGACTACAAGATCCCTCAAATTACTCAGTGCTTTTGGCAGCTGCTTCATTTTCCAGAAGCCCGAAGAAGAGACAAGGAGATTGACTTTCCCAGACCTGATCCTAAACAGTAGGGAAAAGCTGGCTGAAGAGGACCTGAAGAGCAAGAGGAGGAAGACCACATCATTTTGGATTTCACTGTTCTTTAGGAACAGAAATTGGAGGATGGTCACCACACACAGGTTAGATTTCAGAAGAGCCGTTTCAGTGAGCTTGGAGAAGTAGGTGGGATCCCATGGGCAGAAATTCTGAGCTCAAAGGGAGCACAGGTGGGCTGGGAACAAAATTAGGTCCTGGAAGAAGAATCATTACTCCAGTGAGGCCTGAGGCTCACTCAACTGAACTAAGAATGAAATGGGACATGGCTAGGAAATGGAAGGTGGACATAATCAGCAAGACAATGTCCAGGCACGTGGTTAATAGCTGGAGAAAAAAAGTCAGAAATCTCCTGAGGGGAGCTGAAAGCAACAAGAAGAGCTTGGGGTGGGAGCCCAGTAGTAAAGGTGGGGGGCACTGCTAGGAGAGGAAGGTAGGATGGGGAGAGGGGAGCAACTCCTGCTTTGCTTCGCCGTGACCCAAGTAAGGAAAGGGGTGGTCAGAGCGCCCGGCTGCCACGAACGGGGTTAAACTTTCATCTGGAAGGAGCTTTGAGGATGCCACCTTGGCACCCTTTTCTGTAAGCCTTGAGAGGTCTGGAGGATGCGGGGAATTGGAGAAAGGCAGACGTTCCTGGCTCCAGAAAGAGGACCAGTGAACTACAGACAGCTTGGTGTGGGAGCATTTAGAGAAGAACGCCTTGCTTGGCAAGAGGCAGCGTGTGTTTATCGAGAATAAAAACAATTGGCTGTTGTAGTTCATCTTGACCTTGGCAAAATCTCTCATGAGGACTTAACAGAGAAGCTGGCAAATGCAGAATGCTGGACCTTGCTATCGTTAGGTGGACCCAGAGCTGGCTGACCAGCAGTATCCAGGGAGGGTGGATCAGTGGCTCCACATCGAGTCACAAGAAAGTGTTGGGTGCTGGACTGCAAAGGCCATGTTCTGCGCCCGGTGTTGTTTATAAGTGACTTGGTGAAAATATGCAAACTTGCAAGTGACACAAAGATGGGACGACAGGAAACATCTGGCAGGAGAGTGTCAAATTCACAAGAAACTTATAAGCTGGAGCAATATGCAGAAAGCAGCAATAATGAATTTGCTGATCCCAACATAGCTGCTTCTTTGCAAGCCAAGCCTATCTTTTACACTCACTTTGATGGGCTCGGGCAGTTTGACAGCCAGTTTGGTGTAGTGGTTGAGGTGCTGGCCTAGAAACCAGGAGATGGTCTACCGCTCTCTCAGCCCAGCCCACCTCGCAGGGCTGTTGGGGGAAAGGGAAGATTATATCATCACCATCATCGTCTATCCCACCTTTTCGTATATAACTCAAGGCAGCAAACTTACCCAACGCTCCTGCCTCCTCTTTTCCCTGCGAGGTGGGCCGGGCCGGGCCGGGCCGGGCCGGGCCGCGAGCGGCGAACAGCGGGACGCGGCGGAAGAAGGCAAGCGAACGCAATTCCGGGCTGCGGCAAGCGGGGCGCGGCGGGCCCCGTTCCTCTCCGTTCGCCGCTGTCCAGCGCTCACCCGGAATGTCGCCTCCGCTTCTGGACGCCCCTCGGAGAAAGGCCGTCGGCAGAGGAG